TTTTCCTGCTCGAAAGAATTTTCTAAATTTCCTTCATCTTTCCGAAGGAAATGGAAGGAAATAATTGGAAGGAAATAATTCGTGCCACCCTACCGTAGCTTCCCGTATCTCCCACTGTAATGATGGCTGGCAACAAGCTCTTCTGGCGGCATTGAGCATCGAAATTCTGAGCGGCCTCGTCCATGAAGAAGATAGGGTCCAGTCTAGCTGGATCGGTCGTGTGGCGTAACGACGAGACCCTTATAAAATCACTGAGCCCTACTCTGCTCCTACTCTGCTCCTACTCTGCTCCTACTCCTACTACTACTACTACTACTACTACTACTACTACTACTACTACTACTACTACTACTACTACTACTACTACTACTACTACTACTACTACTACTACTATCAGAACTCAAATCATATGTTGAAAATGATTACTTTTTCGTCAATTGTCTAACGAGGCTGCTGGGGCTGGGGAGATCGATTTGCGACGACCTGACAAAGTATCACTGGACTATTATGTTTCAAGAAATTGCGGAGCGAGCGAAGCGAGAAGACCATATACCGCAGCAAAAGGCACCTTCGCGTTGTACGTGCGTGCGTGCGTGTAGAATTATTCTGGCTTAACTACGAAGCGTGGGAGTCTATCAGATAGATCAAACGCGGCGCGAATTTTCCCGAAACCTCCGGATCTATATGCGGAGGTTTCGGGAAAAATCGGACAACTCGATTATTCGAACAGCTCGAAAAAATACGCCCGAATATGCCCCTTCGTCACGAAGACCTAGTACTATAGAGGAAACCGAAACGTTAGAGATGGCAAAGCGATGCTCCAATCCCACAACGGGGGACTTACATTCGTCGCCGCTTTCTCATCCACCGTTTATCCTCCACCACTGGTGGAGGAATATCCTCAAAGGCTTCCTCCTGGCGCCTCGCATCACGTCGTTCACGCCAATACGCCTGAAATTTGCAGGCGGCCGCCGCCTTGCGGACGCGCTTCTCATACCTACCATGGGCATCATCGAAAAACAAACAACCGAACAGAGGGGAAGCTCTCACACAGACGGCAGCAAACGGCGGGTAAAGTGGTTTTTGCAACACCGCTGTGCTTTTGCAATTTATGTTTATGCAATTGTTGCAATGTAGGACATCCGAAGTCACTTTTGCAATGACTTGTTATTGTTGACAAAACCCAAGACGTAGGAATTTTGGCAACATGGATTTTGCAAAAATACATCTAGTCAGGGCTTCTCTAGTCCTTCTTATCAGTAGAATGCTGTGCTTCAGTTTAGAACCCGTCTGGGATAAACGGTTTGGACAACGACGATCATGAATTGAGTACCGGAATCCTTTTTTGATTGACAGTTTTACGATGAGATGGCCGGTTGAGCGAAATCCCGGTTAAAAATCATGATACAGCGTTTATCAGCATATTGTTTGTTCACTGTGGACACTTCGCAATTCTAGAACTTAATCAGTTCAAGTATGTTGTGTTTTCTTTGGATTTCTGTATCTTTCGAGTCGAAAGTTTCGACGGGAAGCTTTTACGTGGACGAGCAGCCGGACTAAGTATTAGTGCGGCACTAAGCTGAAGTCTCGTCACTAACGAGTCGTTAGTAAAGTGCGCCTCCAGCGATTCCCATTTTCTGCTTACTGGTATTGTTGAGTTATGGTTCGTTCTTTATAAAAGCCAGTTCAACACTGTTGAATCAATAGTTCAACATCATTCGCGATATGAGACATTCACCCTTCTTGCATACTACGGTTTCTTCAATTTGAATAATTTCAGCTCTCGGGCTCGTGCGTATCGAGAATCCCGACTCGGAGTACCAAATTGAAAGTGTTATTGTCAATCCATACAGCTTGTTCGATGACATCAAAGAGATTCTACATGAGACCTGGAACTGAGTCAGTTGATGAGACACACTTTGCCCATAGTGAGTATTTTGGTGCGGCACTTGTGATAATCTTTTCATGTTTAGTGAACGCGTTTACTGCCTTCGAATCGGGACACATGACCTCGACAGATTCCACATCGTGTTTCTTAACAGTTGCACTCGGGTTGATAATGGTTTGTTACAATGTGATGAACCTCGCAATCACCTGGGCGCTTCACGACAACGATACTCGATGCAAGCAGATTCGGATGCAGATGGGACAACGGATGGAATCGATTACCTAAAAACGTTATGCATCCTTACCTTTTTATCACTATCGAACTTGAGGCTCACAATTAAAAATATGGCTTCACATTGTCGCATTGTCGCTGCTGCAGTTATTTGGATAGATGCGGCATGATTCAAGCACTATTCTATGAGTGATTCCGGCAGGTTGTGAGAACAGGAGAGTTTTCGATTTTCTCAGAAAACATACACTGCTACACATACAGAAAGAGAAGCCGTACCTTATACTTCGTACACTTGTTTTATTCTATATTTCATCGTGGTACTGTGGAAGCGTGTTGCAAAAACTTAGAAATACGTTGTAAAAGTTCGTGTTCCATTGCAAAAGTGTGTAATCATTACTGTAATATGCCTTGCTACGTTCTTTCTTACATAAAGGTGTGTTGGATTGTAATACTGATAATAATATGATGCGGAAAGGGCGCTTGCGAATTGCAGACCACAATCACCTTCCTGTCTTTCGCGGCGAAAGACAGGAAGGTGATTGTGGTCTGCAAAGTTTCGCGAAAATAGCCAAACGTCCGCGTTGCATTATCCCGATCATTTTCGCAACCGTTGCGCAAAGAACAACATGAAAGCAACTCCCCGAAAGTTGCATAATGCAGCAATCATGTTGCATTACTGAGCCCACGTCGGAGGTTTCGCAACAATGTTGCGAATCTTGTATCATATCCACAACCGTTGCAAAACAGCGAGTTGCAAAAGTGAAATCACCCGCAAACGGCGGCGGATGGACTTGATGATGACGATGAGGGCCTCATCATGAGGCGGAGGAAATAGTGATAGGACCATTTGCAGTAGTTCTGTCGTCGCTGCCGTATGATGAGAAAGCGGCCCAAAGTCTAGAAAAGCACCATCAGGAGCCGACTTTGCCGCTAGCAGTACATACCCGGATGTAGCATTGTTGGCGATATCTCCTCCTTTTAATGATAGAGGTCGCTATCGCCTGCGCCACCCTGGTCCGCTTGGAAACGTCGGCATCAACAGCCGCCTGACAGAACTGTAAATGTGGCACCAACACCTCAGCAGGGCGTCTCACCAGGATGGAATCCAGAGGCTTCACACTCTGGGGCCGGAAGGAGACCTTCGAAGTTCCCAAAGCGAACTCCTTCCCTTTTGAATACTCCCGCCCAGAAGAATGCTCCTCTTCGGCCACTACCTGAGAAGTAGCCATTCCAGGGTCTGGAAAGCTAAACGGTTAGCGCAAAGCAGCGAGCCAATAAAGAGAATCGAGTCACCATTTCCACTGCAGAACACAACAAATAGGCTTCAGGTGACGTTATCAAAATAAGCCCGTGGGATTTACGATATAAAAACTAATTCAGAAGTTTCGATTTGAAACTTTTGAAACACGATTTTGCCAAGACTTAGAATCGCGACTCTTGTTGCTTTTCCTTCTCGCCAAGTCTGGACTTGAATAGCGCCACAGCCCCTTCAACCCTTCCGACTGCAGTGCGATAGCGAGAGCTCTACCCTGACAGACAACATACATGTCATTTCCAGGGTCTCCTGCGCAAACTCGAAATTCCAAATGCAGTCATTAGCTCAGGCTAAGCGATCGCCCATCAGATGCGCCGCATCTATGGGGGATGCACAAACCTCGAGTAAAACACAGGCGGAGTTCTATGCAAACTGCCAGTTTGCCAGTTGAAAACTGTGCTATCGATCCGAAAAGGATTGCGAAGAAAACCTCCTAATAGGAGGCTCCTATCCACTCAGGGGTCTTGTGTGTGTCCGAAGTTCTGAACGCAAGCGAGGCATCCTCCGCAACGTCGATGTGTCGTGACATCAATAGCTGGGTCAAACAGCTTGACTCAATTTGAGTCACTCAAACTGAGACTATTCACTGAGTACTCCTAGACTCAGTGGTGCTGAGTAGTACTCAGAATCGAGGAATCTGCGCGGCATCATGATAGCAAGTAAATTGCTGTTGATAGAGAGGTTAGGGTAGGTATAGGTATCCATAAGATGGATTCCATATAACTGTTCATTGACCCATGTGCAAATTATATATCGCAAGTATAAACCTAATTAACCAGTAAAAATTGAGCGTGTTTCCAAGAGTCGGCCTTTTTGGAAATTCTCCAAGGTGAACAATTTAACCTGAGTATGGATATAAAATTCAGGGGTAATACACAGCTTACCGAGAGCTTTCAGATGGTGTAAAAGTAGCAAACATTAGATGAGCATTACTTTGGAACACCCTGAATGTTATTCGGGGTTAGTCGAAAAATACGTCATACAGTGTTTAACAATTGCAATATAATAACTTTGTCGTAGTACAACCATACAATTTTTCCTCAACGGTATCACATCCTAGTTTTATTGCGGCAGAAGCAATAGACCCTCGCCCCCCTCGAAGATTTCGGGAGCCAGCTCTCAGAAGAACACCAAGTGCCAGTAGCGAGTAACTCACAGAATTCAATACTCAGCTCTAAGTCTTTATCGGCTCCGGAAGGATCCCGCTATATGTCTGTAATACATCTTGGTCTCCCTCGATCTTGGAAGTGCTGTGATGGTGGTGGTAGGAACAGACATGACGATGGGGGAAGATTCCGTATTCGAGAGCTATGTTGTGGTGCTACGAGTGTTTATCATTGCATACACATACTATGCATACAGTCGTTGCATACTATGCAACGAGTACTACTTCGACTACGATGAACGTTGTATGTTATACAACTTAATTCAACATAGGACCTCAAGAAGAGAGAAACGTTCATAGATAGTAGTACGTGGAGGCAACTAAGCAGTGACTGTTTAGGTAGACTTGGCCTTCTTCGGGGAAGGGCCATCTAAATCAGAGACCAACCCATGCATTAATGCCATGTGGTTAGCATATTAGATGTCGGAACCCATATAACCTCCTTTATTCTCCTCAGCAGCCGCAGGAGCCTCAGCGAACTTCTCTTTTCTTTTGAGGAACGACTTGTGATGCGGAGTATACAGCTTATCAAAGTTCTGGCTCTCGAGATGGATACGACCACGACCTGAACAGAGCCCATCACCCACTCCACCATAGAGCTACTCAATACGCTGTCCCATGATATCAGTGGTGATATTCTTAGACTTCTTCGGGCGCTCCTTATCCATATTATACTCGGTAGTAGACGTCTGCGTGGGTAGTCTAGTAGCATACCTGGCGGCACCATACAGCACTCTGAGCTAAGAAGATTATGATCCTACTTCCACTTCTCATGATCAGCCGCTTTATCTCTGTCCGTCTTGAGATCGAACCTCGGTCCAAGCTCGGTGAGCTCGACATGAGGTAGCTTCGTGCCAGTACGTTTGAATGTCAGATGGTAGTGCCTGCACCAGAGGAACTAACCCTGCTGAGCTGGAATGATTCAAACACAACTATGTACTACTGCTTCTACTACACCGATGCCACATTAAAAGCAGCGTTCTACCAGTAGGCCGACCTGAAGCATATGAGATGGGATCCAGTTTCCTCAGGGTCCTCCACTGCAGTGAAGACTACGACATGGTCCAAACCGTCCAAAGCCACCGCTTTAGCCTAACAGAATGGCACCCCCCATAAGAGCCTGTGAGACCAGGAGTTGTCTACCTGTGATCCTCTGAATACGTCCAATAGCAGGGAGCGAGCATGCTGCAAGTCCGGTACACTAGCAAAGCCGTCACCCTGGAAGATAACTAGGGGCTTGCTACCCAGTCGAGGGGCCTCAGCCCCCTTGAATTGACTAGCCGGGACCTACAAGATGCCCGTTGGTGCTTATTCAGGAGAGTATAATCGCGTTACGTAGTTGGATACATGCAGTTCCTCCATGTCCAAGAGTTGGTGGTCGAAAGTTCGGCCAACAGCTAATCGGAATGGTCGCTTCTTAGTTCTGTACCGATGTACTACGAACATTCCAGGAGGTAGTGGTTACTACTTCGATCCGAATATAAACAGACTAGCATCGTTCTTCCTCGCAAGGAATTCCAACGTGCCTGTGGAATCAAAATTCACCCACCAACTTCATCTCATCTACACCTTTAGAAAAGGTGGGCATTGGCCTTGAAGGCCGATGTAGAGCGCCCCAGAGATTCTTCACAGAAGCACCCCAAGATACTACCAGGATCCTCGAAAGGCTGGACACTCTCGTTCCTCCTCAGATTGACAGCATTCGGCTTTAGCATATCGTATCTGTGGCAACCCCTTTACCCAGCCCTAACCGCTGTTACCTACAGGTCCTTCAACAGAGCATTAACGTCCTGACCAGCCTGAGGCCCTCGAAGTAGCATAACCGTCTTATCATTCTCCTACACATGTGGATGGCAACTAGAAAGAGACCATTATTCCGTACTTGGAGTTTCGAGGCCCTCTCGGCCAGTACTCTCCGTCCCTTGCCAGTCTTGGCCTTCTTAAAGAGGTCATCAGGGATAGAGTTGGTGGTTGCAGTAGACATAACTTCCACTACTACTATACAACTCTGGACATAATCTTCGGTCAGCATTGACTCTAAACTCTGAGGCGTGCGCGTTCTTCTCCAACTTTAGCGCTCGCCCGAGTTCGTTTAAAGGGGATCATAGCATAGTTGGTCGAAGGCGTTGCCGCTATAGTGCTAGTTAGCGATATGTTCCTGTCCCAACCTTTGCGTGAAATAGCAACACGCATTCTGAATAAGGCTCGCGCCGTTCATCTGGTTGATTCTGATTGTGTCATCAACAGTTGCATCGTGAACAAGTCGACGGTCAACTTGTTCACGATGCAAATGCCACGATGCGTATTAGGCACCGTCGGGGGTATCTTGAGCGCTACAATGGGATTACAAACTCTACAAAAACTTACGAGCCCTCACAAATGCCCTTGACATCACCATCGAACCTATCGGCTTTATTTACTCATCCTTTAGCAAGGTTTCGTCCTCACCCTTATTCTAATACTATTGTGCCCAACTTTAGTATGCCCGTAGTGGTATTGCCTGTGTTCAGGAATTCCAATGGAGTTGTGACAATTGCTGAGCTTGCTATCAGCCATTTGAATTTTTCAATGTCTGAACATGATTTCCCACTGACCATGCCTCTGCCGTATATGATCTTTTGGCTGCGTCCCGTGGCGACTGCCCTCTCCTTCGCTCGACAGAATCCGAAGGTGATTCACGCCATCCTAACAACGACCATCTGGGGTGACAACTTGGCTATTGTCACTCTGTTACGAATGACCCTAGTAGGAGTCTTCGGCGGTGTAAGTGGCTATCTGATCGGCTTAGTCACTTTGAAAGTGCATTCTCTCGTACTAGCATTCAGGGAGATGGCCGAGGCCTTAGGCATCGACTTACAGGCCTTAGAGGCGGCATCAGCATTTGCATGACTAACGGATGCCGTAAACAGTTGTATTTCATCATTATTTTTGAGTGTCATTGACCTCGTCATGTTGCCGTGATCTTGGGTGAGATTTGAGTTGTAGTATACCACTACGAACATCTTCTGCAGTTGGTTCGTTTAGTTACTACTTGCCAAGTGCTCCTGGTGAACTGAAGCAAGATCCTATCAAAAGTCTATGTCGCTCAACGATGACGGTTCCACCTTGTCGTCATCCCAGAACTTAGCCCTGGGAATCGGCATCAACGTGTTCGGTGCAATCATGACCAATTTGGGTACGGTACTGATGAAATTCCATACAGAGCAGAGGAAAGGCATCGGACCCTACCTCAGAATTGGGGTGAGTCTATTTGTTATTGGTACGGTAATGACGTTCTTATCGTTTTCTCTAGCCCCACAAACTCTACTGGCAGGCATATCCGCGATCCAGTTTGTGTCCAACTTGTTCTTTTCCCGGTATCTCCTAGGGGAAGCAGTGACCTTCCGTAGTGTGCTGGGCACAGGTTGGCTGATAGGGGGTATTGCTCTAGTTGTGGTATCGAGTGCTAACTCTGATGACTCTGCAACTGTGAGCTACTTTTTTAGTGAATATTATTTCTCGCATAACCATTTGATTTTCATATGCGCTATCTGTGGTGTGGTATGCTTTCTTGCTTTCGCCTTCTGGTTCCGGACAGGCGTATTGCCAGTGTGGAAGCATCATTCAAGATCTGAACGAGTTCTGGTATTTGAGCTCTCTCTTCCTAGGAGTCAAACTCCTATGACGCGATTCTTCCTGCCTACCTCCTTCGTGATGCTATCTGCTATGCTTGGTGCTCAGTCGGTCGTCAGCGGCAAGGTTTTGTCATTGATTATTGCCGAAGCGTTTACTGACGGCCATTGGAAGGAGCTGTATAAGGGGCGTACCTTTTTGGTATTGTTCCTCTGGGTCCTGGCAGCCATTATCTGGGTTATACAGCTGAATCGTTCGTTACGGGTCTTTGCTGGCGCCTACATAATACCACTTACTCAAGTGTGTTGGACGTCGTGGACTATGATTTCTGGTGGAGTCGTTTTCCAAGAGTTCGAAAAGATGACGAACTGGCAGTTACCTTTGTTCATCGTGGGTACGCTAATATTATTCTGGGGAGTGTCCTTGCTAGCCCCACGGAAGAAGAGAATGCCTCAGCAGCAGCAACACCATCATCCATCGCCACACCCACAGCAGGCTCAGCAGTCACCCGATATGGACAGTATGCTTAGTGCGGTCTCAGCTATGGTATCGCCAAGCATTTCGGCTTTGTCCGCGCCAACTCAAGGGCCACTGGATCAGCAACAGGAAGAGGCAGTAGTGGATCCTGATCAAATTGATATTGGCGTTGAAGAGGCTCCTTCGATAGTAGGAAGCTCTAGTTCATCGCCTCGCAGTACTGCTGGAGTCAACGTCCTCATGTCAGCCTTGTCAGTTGGGGTGTTGCCTGACGTTGAAACGATTGAACGAAGTGGATTCCATCATCTGTATACAGCCAATTCCTCATTAGCTCGGTCACCGTCGGTATCAGAGATATCGGTTAGTGTCCGTGGTGAAGTGACGAGAACGGCTAGTGGGGTTTTCGAGGTGGACGATCCGCCATTTATAAGGACGAGGAACTTCTTGAAGCGGTGGCAGAATGATAGGAGGGAGATAAAGAGGAGCAAAATGGGTAGTAGTATTGACACGGGCGGGTTGGATTCAATACTTGAGGAAGATGAAGGTGGGAGGCAGGGAAAACTGAGGAGGATCTTCTGGTGTGGTAAAAATGAGGACGCGGAAGAGTGTTGACTATGGCGGTATTGTATTGTAGTATATTCATGGAATTCAACGGTGGCTCGGATAGTGCCCATACGAGGTTACAACATGAGTCTAATGCTTCTACTGCTCGTACTAGTCTTCGCGTCGTGCTGGGTAGTAGGTAGTAGTGGTAGCTAGTGTCGGTGGTTACGTTGTCAGATTGTTGTTGTTCATCAGCACATTCACTTGAATGCCTGGTTCATCATACTAGCTGTATGTGGAGGAGTGCGAGGTCCTCACTCTCCATAGGGGGGCGCGTGAGAATTTTCAATCAATGCAGATAGAGGCTTCGGGATCAAAGCCTGGGTAATCATCTCAATGACGGTGTGTGAGAGGTGGACTCGGTTATTAGGCAAAGTTATTGGTCATTTTGAAAAGCTCTTGCAACGGCGCGATATGCTGGGCATACAGGTGGCTATTCAATCGGACTGGACCTGGACTAAGGTGGGGGACAGATGGAGGTGGTATGTGAGGCTCTTGTCGTACAACGGATGAGTGGCCATGGAGGTGATCAATGAGAAGCGAGACTTCAATTGCGGATCTCAGAGGAGTAATTCCCTTTATACTGGACTAGGTCCATGATAAAAGCACTTACTTGGACCGGCGATTGTGCGTGGTGAATTCCCATCTGATGGCGGGGCGAGAGGGCTAAAAAACTAATACTTCTCCTTCTGCGGAAGCATTGATCGCCGTCTGATTCCTGTAGGGTACTGGGCCCGCCACATGAAGGAGAACCAATATTAGAACTCCTTACTGGCCTCAGCGACAGCAATATACGCTATATCACCCAACTTGATGCCTTCCCCTTGCACTGGTGACCGATACTGTATTACTTGTGTTTAGTAGATGGACGGGCAGTTGGTGATTCAGTCAGCTTCCCGTGTCACCACCGTTATCATGAGCTCTCTATTTTCCCGTAAAGGTTTCGAGTCGATGTCACGAAGCCTCGAGCAGGCTAGTAGGTTCATGCACGTAGGTCTACTACTACTAGGCCTACTCTCAGCCATTGCAATGTGTCGTTCATTAGGATAAAGTACGGGAAGCAGTAGCAGGAGAAGTAGGCCTTCAGGGACGGCGAGGTAAGCATATTGACCATCCCATCGCGTATTCGTTGGCTTTAAGACTCGCACTACGATGGTTACTCATCGTCATCATCATCTACCTTGGTACACTACCAAGTCGTGGATGTTGCTCAGGAAGGGTCCTTGGAGAAGACCAAATACAACATGTACGGTAGCTGCTACGTCTTAGCAGGTGGAATGCCTCCCGTCGTAGGTTTGCTCTCCCTTGCGAAGGCTATGATATTACGGTTGGCTCTGTGAAGGAGCACTTCCCTGTGAACCCAGCCTTTTACCGGGCAAGAGCATTCACCTTCCGCTTCCGGTGTAGTGATGATAACTTTGATGACTACGTTTGGTTAGACATGCCTGAAGATTTTGACGATCTCTGTCCACCCACGTAAGTACTCAGGCGTCGTTATGGACCAGAGCCGATGAAAGCACTCCAGATATCGCGGGGAGATCTGGGTCAAGGCACTGCCAGTGAAGCCGTACCGGCTACCAGAATCGGATTACTACTATGAGGAGGATCCTGAGGTTGGGCGTGCATATTTTATACAGAATTGAGCTTCAAACATAATCATTAGATTGAGGCAGCGATCGCAGCGTATCGGAGCCAGTTCTCGACGGCCTCGAATGATTGCGGTCGGCCAAAGAAGAAACCGACAATTAGCCCTCGTAAGTCTCTTGTTGCGGAAGATTATTGCGAAGTTCCCTGCCTTAGGAGGCAACTCTGTTCCTCCCAGTAAGGGTTATGGTCATCAGTCCAGGCAAGGCGAGCTGGATGCGGACCTTATGGACTTTGGCGGTGGACATCACCGTACAGGTGTGCGATTTGATCTGAAATTCCCTGGGATTTCGAATTGTATATCTTCAGTCTCCAACCCTCCCTCGAGTTCGTCTGTCTATCCTGGGATCACGTCCCGATCGAGTAATCCTGCTGCACCGCAAGTACGGGCAGAGGATCTGGATAGGGAAGCGTTGAAGGCCGCAAGGCTGAAGGCTAAGGAAGAGCGCATCCGTGCAAAACACGTACTCTGTATACCGCTCGTTATGTTAGCTAGGACTGTATCGCTATAGGAAGAGTTTGCATCGAGACAACGAGAGGAGGCCACGAAGCGAGAAGCTAAGCTCGATGCCCAAGGCCGGCTAGCAGAGGAGTTGGATCATTGGGCGTATACCGAACAAGTGAGGGAGGATGCTGGTGTGTTTGGTCGATGCCGTCCTTCTAGGGTAAACCGAAGGATATTAGAACCCTCCTGTCGAATATGGAAGAAGCTCTGTGGCCCAATTCCGGATGGAGCACGGTTAGTGCAGGTGATCAACTACCCGGGTCATGCAGTTGCTTCCAAGGTGTGGCTTTTATCAGGGGAGCTCATGGTCAACACTGGAGCCGTCAAGAAGGCATATCGAAAAGCGATCATCCTCTGCCACCCAGACAGGTAGGAGGAGAGCATTCGCTTTATGTCTAGTGGCCTCCACACTTCGTGTTTTCCAGACATCAAAGCGCTTCACCAGACGAGCAGTACAGAGCGGATCGCATTTTTAATGCTCTCAACGAGGCGTTCAAGCGACAGTAGCGGCTCGATCGTTGAATCATATCGTTACATTTATTATGAATGAAAGAGGTTCTGTGTTATGACCAGTGGATGGGAGGATTAGGGTCATTAGAGGCAAAACACTAACCGGCTCGGTGTGTCCAGTTGTAATGCAGCTCGCTATAGGCTAGCGAGAAATCAGTCTTTGTTCAATATGAGGGTATTTATATTCGTTGGTGACGAGCGATAGTGATAGTGACGCCAGTTACGACAGAAATAGTATGGGGTCTAATCAGGAATGTGATTCCTGATGCAAATGTTCAATGGCATATTCTTTCATTTCGGCAAATGTTGGGTATGGAGTTGCGAGTCGTAACAACTATATAATCGTATCGGGCGTGTGGTGTAGGGGTATCACGTCTGCTTCGCATGCAGAAGGTCCCGAGTTCAATTCTCGGCACGTCCATCTGTACTTGTCATATTACGATGTGTTTGTAGCAGAAGTCAAACCGAAGGCTTTTTGCATGCGAAACTGAGGAGATACCCCTACACCACTACCCGATATTCCACATGAAATGTATCCGAGCTCAGTTTCTAAATTTTCTGAGTGAACCGTTGATAAATCCGATCGCCACAACGAATGATATAGGGATGACCATTATTTGAGTATCATAAATCTACTCATCATCGTTGCATATAGTTGTCCTATAGCTGAGGGGTGCCATAAACGAATATCGTCCAGATCGCTGGACAGCCACGAGTAACGCTGTTCTCTCCTTGATGGTGAGAGAATGGATGACTACTCGTCACCCGACTCGCTAGTGCTAACTATATCCTGACTCAGTTCCACCTTCCCATCAGTGGCATGCTGCCGTTGAGCTCGAATCCGTTAAGATTACTTGAGTAACAAAACTGCTAGCGGCGAATGAAACGAATGTCACAGAAACATCAACTCTCCACCATCAATGCATGGGACCAGTTCAGTACAAAGTCAACAGAAAAGGGAAAGCAATCAACCTGGCTAGTGATTGAACTTCGGAATCGTCTTAAATTATCGCTCGAGTCAGCCGCACATGCGGCGTACATCGCTGCCAATACCTGCTCACACGACGGTGACCCACTAGAGATTTTACACGAACTACTCTTCGTTCCATGCCACTCTGTAAAAAGGCGTTGAATGTCATCTTTCCGCTGGTCTCGTCCTCCTCGGAACTGATCATTCGTGTCAAATCCGTACGTTGGAATGTCCGCAACAAATGCAACGGCATCGACCTCAAGAGTCGGTCTCGGTCGAAACTCATAAGTGCTCTGAAGAGTGGTAATGTCATAGATTTATGTGAGGGATGACACTCACCTTGTCGTAGTAGCAGTGTTGATACGTTCGAGTAAGCGAGAGTCGATGCTTTCCAAGAGCCGTGAGAACGCTTCCTCAGTGAGGAGGGGTAGTATTGGTGACGCGTGCATAAGTGTCATTATTAATTGAACTTCGAATCTCTGAGTAACCGCTGGTCGCGACATCAAGGCGGCTGACAGAATCAGCCATTTCTCATGGAGGCCTCCCGTGATTACCTATGCACCGCTGCTCCACTTCGGAATGGTTCACGTCCAAACGCCTCAGGGACCGAACTAGCAGAGCCTTCTGCTGCCAGGCACCGTTGACTGCATGATCAATAGCTCCTCTGGCCAAGACGACAGCTGGTCTCTGTAGTGCTTCCGAGAAGTAAGAGAGTATCCGTGCAAGCATTTGTAGTGGTGGTTTAACTGCGTCTACTGCTTCCGCCAGGGGAATCCATATGGTGTCCTCGAATGGTTGGAGACATTCAAACCTATACGCGTAAGGGAGTCCCCACATGTGCAACCGATCGTCCCAAGTGCCACCTACTGATCAGGATCCACCACTCTCGATCGACGCATTCTGAGGTCAACCAGACCCACATGCCTCGCCGTCTGCGATAAAGCCTTCAAGTCTGGAGCCTTGCGGAGCTCGGCAACTGCTGCTTCGCATAATCCAACTAGCTCTCGGGCTGTGTGCCTAGTAGCATCGATAGTATCCCGAACTTCCAAGTGGGAATGGAACTCTATGATTTACACTGACGCCATCAAACATCACATCTGAGTTCTGATTCACTTGTGTAGACAACGTGGGAAACAGTGTGATAGCCACAATATGCGGACCAGGATGAACTCCTGGGCTCGATCTTGTGAGTGATTCGTCGCTCTTATCGAGATAGCAATAACTATATCAAACTCAGCTTCAATCTGTTCCGACTCATCCTTGCATGAAACGAGTCGACTCGCGTATATCCCTGACTGATTCGGTATATAACTATTGATACTACAATAGTTGTCTTACTAACACCGTGTCGAGTATTACAACCGTATAAGCCTTGAATAATGCAGTTACAACGCGTATCTTTGGCAACGCACTCGCAAGATTTCCCGTCCCACCCATACGAGCATGTCAGAAGAGAGTCATTACCTGCATATGAAGAGCCCCCTAGCGGGCAGAGTCTCCTCACTCACCACAGCGGCGAGTGTCGCCAGGGCAGGTCGTGGAAGAGCTGGCATGGTGACGGGATATGAAACTGCGCCGTTGTCGACGGAACGATCATAGCGAATCCAGCGTAAATCGATTAGATTTGCGCAGCTCGTACGATCTGAGTTACGCACGCGGATGTGTGGTCTCTGGGGCCCAGAGCATTTATTACTAGCATCCTCATTTAACCGTGTGATCGTGACAGTGGTCGAATTCGGCTCCGTCGATCCGTACCTTCGTTGGATTGCTCCCTTTTACAGCGCTAGTAGTAAATAAGCGAGATTCAATGTTGTTGTTCTCAGTTCCCAAGGACCTCTTGCCAAAATGCCGAACTTCACAGTAGAGGAGATGCGCGCGGCCATGGATGAGCCTCTTTACATCCGTAACATGAGCGTCATTGCTCATGTCGATCACGGCAAGTCCACTCTGACCGATTCCCTTATCTGCCGTGCTGGCATTATCTCTTCTAAGGCCGCCGGTGATGCTCGTTTCACTGATACTCGTGCTGATGAGCAGGAGCGTGGTGTGACTATCAAGTCTACTGGTGTCTCTCTGTATTATGAGTACAAGGCCGAGGACAAGGACAAGGAACACGGTTACCTTATTAACCTTATTGATTCCCCCGGGCACGTTGATTTCTCATCTGAGGTTACTGCTGCTCTTCGTGTCACCGATGGTGCTCTGGTCGTCGTCGATTGCATTGAGGGTACTGCCGTCCAGACCGAGACTGTGCTTCGTCAGGCCTTGAGTGAGAGGGTCAAGCCAGTTCTGTTCATGAACAAGGTCGATAGGTGTATCTTGGAGTTGCAGATGGACCCTGAGGAGATGTATGTCAACTTCCGTAAATGCATTGAGGATGTCAACGTCATCATCGCCACTTACAACGATGAGCTCATGGGTGATTGCCAGGTCTATCCCGAGAAAGGTACCGTCGCCTTCGGTTCCGGTCTTCACGGTTGGGCTTTCTCCATCGAGAAGTTCGCCGAGATGTATGCTTCTAAGTTTGGTGTCCCCAAGTCTAAGATGATGAAGCGTCTCTGGGGTGATACTTTCTTCAACGCCAAGAAGCACTCTTGGACTAACGTCGCCGAGCCTGCTGGTCACACTGGCAAGCCTCTCCCTCGTGCCTTCTGCCAGTTCATCGTTGAGCCTATCACTCAGATGATCCGTGCCATCATGAACGAGGATAAGGAGAAGTACGAGAAGATGCTCAAGTCTTTGAACATCGTCCTCAAGGGTGACGACAAGCTCCTCACCGGTAAGCCTTTGATGAAGAAGGTCATGCAGACTTGGTTGCCTGCTGCTGATACTTTGTTGGCTATGATCGTCGATCACTTGCCTAGTCCCGTGTTCGCCCAGAAGTATCGTGTTGAGAACCTTTACGAGGGTCCTATGGATGACGCTGCCGCCAACGCCATCCGTGCCTGTGATCCCCATGGTCCTCTCATGATGTACATCTCTAAGATGGTTCCCACTTCTGATAAGGGTAGGTTCTATGCTTTCGGCCGTGTCTTCTCTGGTACCATTGCTACCGGTAAGAAGGTCCGTATCCAGGGACCCCATTACGTCCCCGGCTCCAAGGATGACTTGAATGTCAAGAACATCCAGCGTACCGTTCTTATGATGGGTCGTTATGTCGAACAGGTGTCTGATATCCCTTGCGGTAACACCTGTGCCTTGGTCGGTGTTGATCAGTACTTGCTCAAGTCTGGTACCATCACTGATATCCCTGATGCCCATAACATCGCCGATATGAAGTACTCTGTGTCTCCCGTCGTCCGTGTGGCTGTGAAGCCTAAGGATGGTAAGGATCTCCCCAAGCTCGTTGAGGGTCTCAAGAAGCTTTCTAAGTCTGATCCCCTTGTTGTCTGCACCACTGAGGAGTCTGGTGAGCATATCATTGCTGGCTGCGGTGAGTTGCACGTTGAGATCTGCCTTAAGGATCTTAAGGACGAGTACGCTCAGTGCGACTTCACTGTATCCGATCCCGTCGTCTCATACAGAGAGACTGTCACTACTACCTCAAGCCAGACTGCTCTCGCCAAGTCCCCCAACAAGCATAACCGTTTGTTCGTGACTGCCGAGCCCTTGGGTGATGAGGTCAGTGCCGAGATCGAGAGCGGCAAGTTGGGTCCTCGTGTTGATCCTAAGGAGCGTGCTAAGGAGCTCGCTGAGAAGTACGACTGGGATGTTAACGCCGCCCGTAAGATCTGGTGCTTCGGCCCCGAGACTGAGGGTGCCAACGTCGTCGTCGATGTCACTCAGGGTGTCCAGTACCTTAATGAGATCAAGGAGCATGTAAACTCGGCCTTCCAGTGGGCTTCTAAGGAGGGTCCTCTCTGTGAGGAGAACATGCGTGGTATTCGCTTCAACATTCAGGATGTTACCTTGCATACTGATGCTATCCATCGTGGTGCCGGTCAGCTTATGCCTGCTACCCGTCGTGTCTGCTTCGCCGCTGAGTTGCTCTCCGGTCCTGCTCTCCAGGAACCTGTCTTCCTTGCTGAGATCACCGCTCCTACTGAGGCCATGTCTGGTATCTATAACGTGCTCACCATGCGTCGTGGTTGCGTGTTCGAGGAGAATCAGAAGGAGGGTACTCCTCTGCTTCAGCTTAAGGCCTACTTGCCCGTTGCCGAGTCGTTCGGCTTCACTGGTGCTCTCCGTCAGGCTACCTCTGGTCAGGCCTTCCCTCAGTGCGTGTTCGATCATTGGGAGGCTCTTCCCGGCGACCCGATGCAGGAGGGTTCCAAGGCTCAGGAGCTCGTTCTCAACATCCGTAAGCGCAAGAACATCAAGGTTGAGATGCCTGATCTGTCCAACTATATGGATAAGCTCTAAGCACTTAGATTCATTTCAAAGCTGCTGTTGGTACTGGTGCGGTTTGAATCTGCTGTGTCGCTCTTCGTTGATCGTTGTAAATCTCGGTTATAATATTGTTGATCAGTCTTTACCGTCTAAATTGAAGGGAATTGTTCAATCCGAGGTTGTCAACGGTTTTGCCGTTGCAGTAGTGGATAATTGCATTATAACGATTGGCCAAAACCTGGAACTTAGTTTACTTGATGCTACGAGGAGTATTGTGTTGGGTTGAAAGATTGGATTAAGAGATGGACGAGTAGGTTCCTTGAGCTGTATAAAATCAGAGAATCAGTGGTATATAATTATCTGAAGAATATAATCGTGAAGGTGCGTGTGCGGAGTTCTCACGGAAATATCATCTCACAATTTCGTTATCATGGTAATAAAAGAGAGTTCCTCGCGAATAATATTGTTATTCCTGTTCCGTTTGCGAACGCTGGAATATGAGAAAACACAGCTTCATTGAGTTGATTCCATCGATATGAAGTGTAGAAAAACCATGAACACGCATTTACGGTCAAGGGAGAAATGGCCTATGTCACTAATAACACAAGCAGAGATATTCACAAGTCAAAATGATACGACGATTGTCACAATAATGGGGAAAACAATTAAGCAAGAGTGACATAATGCGATGAATTGTAGTAAGCCTATTTATAAATGCTGCGACCTCCAGCATAATTGTCAGCAACATATATCGCTCAGTAGTAATAGTAGTAGGAACTGTAATTCCACTGCTTGTAGCGTTGCCGACTCTGTTGCCGATTGGCGCCACCTTTGCCCTTCCCTTTCCGATTTCGTCGAGGTTTAGTCGAAGTCGACTCATTTGTATCTGCGGACGTTTATCATATAAAAATATACGACTATAACTACTCACCCTCAAGCTCAGCTTTCGTCTGCTTTTCTTCTGGTGGCCGATCTCTGTCACTCTTAAGCCTCGTTACAGGCAACTTCCGACTCGCTAGAACTTTCGCTCCTCCACAAGATACGTGCGCTGACGGAGCCATCTCCGTAGAGCCCTGTTCGATCGCCACAGAATCGCTAGTAGTTGAAGTAGATTTGACTTCTTGTGCTGATAATTCAGCTGAGGGAGATTTAGCCTCGGCTGACACCGGCTGAGGAGACTGTGTTGTACTCTCTGTAGAGGAGTGCGGCGGTCGTGCTAATATCCGTACCTGGAACAGCAGTTAGGAGATCATCCAACTATCGGTCCTTACATGCCCCATTTTCGGGCTGAACACAGGGCTAGTTCGAGAGGCTATGATCTCCTTGGCCAGTTTCGAGTCGGGCAAGGTCTCCTCAATAGGAGCATCCCACAACTCGACTAGAGTCTCCCCCGACATTCGTGGGGCTGCTGGCTCCGGCGAATCCACAGACTCCTGCCCCCGACCTCTCGGGGGATGAGGCAGGATGCGAACGTCCTCTCGAGGCACATACTTCGGTGCCTGCTTCACTGGTCTCTCCTGTAGAGTCGCTGCCGCTGGCGGTAATGATGCCATGCGTGACGCTAGGCTCTGAAAATAACAATGCGACTGTGTAAGGGTCGAACTGATGAGGGCTCACTTGTGATGGCAGTGGTGTTGGGCATAGATGAGGGAGAGTCCGCCCCAAATCGGCTAGACCGACCGTTATCCCACCGGAATGCTTTCTCGATTGTCGAGGAGCCATTATTAGGTAAGAATAGTAGCTTTAAGAGGAGTTAGATCGAGGTGATATGGAAACACTACAAAAATTCGAATAGAAAACAGTCTCACCATGCCTAGTCCCCCTGCCGATGCCATAACGAATCCGAAAATGTATAACATACAAGCTTCACGGCGCCACGGAGTCACTCTGTTGAAGAGGGCTTAAAAGAAATATCGATGGCTGCTCTTAAAGTTGAACTTCTCGAGCTGGCGCAGTATAGCAAGACCATGACCCACGGTCTGTTCGATCTTAGGGTGATGGTCCGGGTATCTTGCTGCGTGAATGCATGCTAGAGGTGATGGTAGAGACTCACCTCTCCAGAAGGTCCTCGTAAGCTCTGGTAACCATAGCGCACTGCTCTGGCATGTTCTCAACCTCCTCCGAAGCAGCAGCACCGGAGCCCATGACGCCTGAATCCGGACCCTGGTTCGATCCCGGCATACCGCATCCTACCTTCAGCACGACTTGACAGCTCTAGAAGCTCGTTGATGTGATCCCTAACGTCTTCACATGCATACATACAGTTGACCGTCTCGTGAAGGTTGCGTATGATGGGGCCAATCTCATCGTCACATAGATAAGGTTCACACATGTGATCCACCTGCAGAAGTGCTGCTTCCTGCCCTAAAATGAATCTTACCTTCTCGAGCTCAGATTCCCAGAAAGGGACGTCTAACACGAGATTGAGGCCATCCTCCCAGTTCGTGCCGAGTACCTTGAGAATGCAATAGGTGACTGCGAACCCCAATGGCCCGACCTGATAATAGAGGTTGGAAGCTCTCTGGAGGGCCTCGGCTCGAGTGAACTTGTCCACTGTGAGCATGGAAAAATAGCGGGTTGCGGGCATGGTCATCGGCCTGACTAAGCCCGATGGAACCATGCGGCGAGAGAGAGCGCGACAGAGCAGGCTGGAGGCCATCGAAAGCAGCGATAACGGCACTATACAGTCGTAGTGATTCAACGAACGAAGAGGTCCGATGAGACTATCCACGTATCATGGGTCAAGATTAGACTAGCCATATGATAACAACGAGCTCTGCCGATTAGCGCGGAGTAGCAGCAGTTCTCTAGCGTATAACATGGAGTTTGCTTGCAAGAGCATTTCAAAGTGGCATTGGTCGCAAGATCAACTTCAACCCTCAACTACGTGGTCAAGTAGGTCTCGCGCGCGCCATGATGATCGATTCAATTGTTTGGTGATTCGATTGTAACTTTAAGTTACAATTTGTAAGAGTGTTTGGGGATCCACGTGAAACCAGTACGTGAACTGAGAAAAAAAACTACATGCAGTTACATGTCCCGGAGGTGGCGTGAGATAGATACTAAGTTAGCTTTTGCTCAGAGGTGAGCTGAGGGAAGTCCATAGCAAGCACTCAAGTAACCCAAGCGAACACCATACGCAACGTAGTGGCGTACACACACAGTGGACGAGTTGTGCCAGGAAAGCATTGTACAGGCGTTCCGTAGCGTGTGAAACATGACGCACGTAAACAGCAACTTCAGCCCTTAAAGTGATCTGATTGTAGTGCGAGTGTGTTCTACACTTGTATGTTTGATGGTGTATGTGAACTGTTAAAGCTGTACTAACATCGTAATGGCACCGTCTATTTCCGGTGGCGATGCATCCGATGCTGATGCGCGAGAAGCTTCCATAACTGCCCAGCCAGGATGGTATTGGGACTGGGATTTCCCAAAGCACCACCCTTACCTCAATGAGGTGATGCTCGATAGACGCAATCGGGTTGTTGACGAGTGCATCTGGTGTCAGTCACATCACGAGTTCCGACGACTAATCAGGGCATTCATCTTGGAGCACATTATCCCCTTTATACCGCAATGGGAGGCCGAGGGCAAGTTCCCGCGAGAGCTCCATCGCAAGGCTTATCAAAGCGGCGTGTAAGTGTGCGGACAGCTCGCTGCTGTTAAGTATGACTAGATACGCTCCATTGTGGCCCACGTCCATAGGAGGCACTCCTCCTCCTCTCTGCAAGGGGAATCCTGAGAGACCTGGTGAGAATGTGTAACTTCACCGACTTATCCACGTCGATACCACTCGATCTTCCAGTTCGTATAATCATCAACAGCTTTGTGCTCGCAAGCCATATTCCCATTATTACGATTCAATACCAGCTCATCTCGAGTCGATTGTCTCTCAGGTCCACACGAGGTTGACATCTGGCATGATCTCATTATCAACGATGAGCTTGCAAATTGTGGTGCAGGAGGTGTTATAGCAAGCTGCTTCGTGAGTCTAGCCATAGGCTTGCCTCCTCTCCTCGCGGGTATGTTCCCATCGACTCCACACTTAATTTTATCCAACTGTCTAGGTGGATTGGCTGGGGGACCCGAGCTGACCTCTCGGCTAGCTCGGGAGATTGTCCAAGGAGATAAGATCCTAGCTCTAGCTGTGACAGAGCCGTATGCTGGCAGTGATGTTGCTAATATCCAAACCACGGCTGTTCTTCAAGTAAGCTGTAGAACATATCACTCCGTTTCAAGCAACCTCGTTGGCAGCCTGACGGCAAGCACTACCTAGTGAATGGCATGAAGACTTTCATAACCTCGGGTCCTTGGGCAGACTACTTCACTACGGCAGTAGGCTGTGGCGTCCCCAATCGACTGGTTCACGTGTAGAGTAGGTCCACATAGCCGGTGACAGCGGTCTCTCTCTCCTGATGATTGATCGTACCTTACCAGGAGTGGCTACGACTCGATTGTCTACGCAGGGCTGGAAGTCGAGTGGAACGGCTCGTATCACTTTCGAAGATGTTAAAGTAGGCTGTTGACTCTAGTGTAGGGAGGAATTCGTATAAGGTACCGATCGAGATGCTCATAGGTCGCCGCGGTCACGGCTTCAAGGCGATCATGTGTGGCCACTCCTACTTTCCACTACTCGTTATGGTATCGTTAGGCACAACTTCAATCATGAACGCCTCATGTTGGCCTTACAGTCTTGTCGCCACGCCCGCATCTGCATGGAGGATGCCATACGCTATGCGAAGACCAGAAGGACCTTTGGCAAACGCCTTATCGATCATCAGGTTAGGCATGCGAAGTGTGATGGAATGTACCTTGCTCTTTTGGATGATTAGCAGGGAGCGAGAATATCACGCTTGGATGATATTCAAATTGGTGTGGTAGCTTTCGCTGACTGTGCTCGTACAATTCACAGTTTGCCTTGCGTAGAAACATATTAGTAGTGTGCGGCCTCGGCTAGGGACATCTTGGATTCAGGTTATACGTCACAAGATAGCAGAGATGGCCCGACGAGTGCTGGCCACTCATTACTACATCGAGAACATTGCCATACAGTGGCCGCAGTGAGCTGGGATATATTTATATGTTGGGTCAAACGTTGTACGACAGGTCGAGCCAGAGCGAGTTGGCTGGGAAGGTGGCCTTATTGAAGGTTCAGGCTACTAAGACCTTCGAGTTCTGTGCTAGAGAAGCTTCCCAAGTCAACTTCTCTTCTGTGTGTACCTCGATGAGGCGCTTTGGTAGGTACTTGGCGGACGTAGCTATCTACAGGGCTCCGGCCCTGGGGCTAGAATAGAGAGGCTGTATCGGGAAGTGAGAGTGAATGCAATTGGTGGTGGCTCAGAAGAGGTAACCGAGGATTACCATTCAGTGATTACCATTGAATAGTTCAAATCCTGTGGCTTTTGAGTATTACCATTGTTCTTTCAGATTATGCTGGATCTGGCCGCCAGACAGGCTCGATTATAAGCGTATTAGGCATCTTATATTTTTAGTTAGGTGGTGGATTGGTGTCTTTCATGAGTTTTCTTTTCATTTCCGACATTCTTATTGTGTTGTGTCAAAAACATCTCCACTTGCGATTATCGTCATACTAACCTGAGTCACCATCGTCCTATTCGATCTCGGCAGATATCTAGCATTCATTCACTAGAGTGTTTAGTTTGCGGAATCAGTATCAATGGGTCTGCTGGTGTACCTCCTTACAGCCACCTCACCCTCTTCTCCAGAGTGATGTCATGGATTGATGGAGGTCGCAACCTCCCTACGAGGATTCCGATCGTAGCCTAGGGCGCGGTTACCCGCGGTTATACATCGTTCTAATCAATGGATAGCAATCGCAAAGTGAAACGGTTCTGAAAACAATCTGACCATGAGAAGAAAACAACAGGAATACTGGGGGATATGAAACCGTTGCATCATTCGTGTCGATGAGATAGAGACAAACTTCGCTCACAACAAACATGCAACAATTGAGAATTATATACATCTGACGAAACAGATAGTGTAACTGCGCGCGTGTACCTCTCAGGCAGTGTTAAGATATGATGGTCTTTCGGTGCCCATGGGGTCTCGAAGGATACTGCGGGTGAGAAACTCGTAGTCCATCTGATCCAGTCATGCATGTTATTTTTAATCATGCAGGTATCGAAATTGAATAGAGCACAATGTGAAAACGCTGTTCGAGCGGAGCGAAGCGCGGGCTCACATATTTTCTCATCATCTTGCGTTGCTGGTTGTAGTCTTGTGCCTTGTATCGATGTTCATCCGTCAATCGGGGTTCCGGTATGTACAGAGGCAGATGAGGATGTATAGATGGAATCGACTAACGGCGAACCTGCTCCTCACTGGTAGCCGTTCTGAGGCCGGTTCGTCGATGGCCTTGGTAGTGCCACTGTAGCCTAGAGTGTGTGGCCAGGTTGGTGATGTTGTAGGTTATCTGTGGTGCTGGTATTGGAGGATTTTCTCTCGCGTCTCACGCGGTTGTATCCCGTAACGATCATGGGAGCTCCTGTGGATGGCTGGGTAGCAGCAGTAAAAGTAATAAAGTGGATGAGATGATTGATGAGAGAGACGTCTTGAGCGACATTGAATCTAATAAGGCAATACCCTTATTTGAATGACCTGTTCATTGGCTCGAATGATCAGGCATATACCTCGGGTAGCGGTGGAGGGTGTAATATTGTGGCTAAGCTGGGCGATGGCCAGGAGACAACAGCAGCGCCGGATTCAACGCCATCTACGACTTCGGGTGGTGATGATGAGGATGCTATGTGGGGCGAACTTATGGAGGGAGCTGAGGTCCCAGCTGATGCTAGGGTCAGACCAACCGACCTGCATCTAGCTGCTTTTAGAGGTGATCTCAATGAAGTGGAGACTCTGATAGAGAAAAAGGTGATAGTAGGAAAGGTCTAGAAGCATTTTTCCTGTCACATTGGAGCCAGGGAAAGACCATCGTTGGTTACTCATTCGTATGATCATGTTCAGAAACATCAGATCAATCAAGCTGATAGTGAGGGCATGACGCCACTGATGGTGGCTGTTAAGCAGGGCCACATGGACGTAGCTGAGCTGCTCTTGCCTGTCAGTGATGTCCATGCTATAGACAAGGAGGAATGGACTGTTATGCATTGGTACCAGTGATGTGATGTCTTGTATATGATTGGAAAATTTAAGGGCGTGTGAAGTTGGGAGGTTGGCCTTTGTCAAGAGGCTCTGTAAAGAGCACTGTGAGCTGCTGACTATGAAGGACAAGAGGGGTCTCTCTCCTCTGCATGTAGTAGTGCCTTTAGGCGGCTCGAGGTATTTCGATACTCTATTAGATTGCATGCTGGCAAGGAAATGAGGAGTTGGCTAAGATTTTATTACAGAACAAGGCGGATATGAAAGCCTTGACTAAATGGGGCGAGACGCCACTGGTAATCCCCTTCTGCTTGGGGGGGTCATCAACTGTACTTGTCAGCACCACGCGGCATTCTTCGGCCACGTTGGAGTATGTCGACTACTACTAGAGCACGGGGCTGATCCTCTAGTGAAGGACAGGCTGCGTCGTTCGCCCAAGTCGCTGGCTAGCGGCAAGGCGGCCAGTCCGGAACTACAGTAAGTCCAAGCATGTGGTCAAGCCTTGTAGAGCCGTGCATTACAGAGCCTTGTTCCGTGAAGCGGTAGCTGCTGGTCCTGCTGCCAGCGAGTCCTCTACGGCCTCTCTCAATGAGTGAGAGCCATGATAAATTCTGTGAAAGATGAGCCATGATGACACGAAGTGATGGTGTTTGCCGTCAACAGGGATTAGTAGTTGCAGTAGTAGGTGCATCCCGTTTCAGCGTTTGTCCGCAGTGAGAGCTAGTTGTGTTTAGTCCCAATGTCCCATAGTCCCCTCAGATTTCCTGATGAGTGGCACTGTTGCAGATTGATGTCGTCGTACTCCTCGAGGATGCTTGCCACCTGTATCCTCGGCGTTTGCCGATATACAGTTATTCAGCTTGTCGAGCCAGCTCTTGTTTCACCATGACCGCCAGGGTTACTGTCGGGTTAGTCGGCATCACCGAGAGCAGTATACCCATGGTTCGAGGAGGACATCCGCTGAATATCCGACCTCTCTCATGGCCTCGTGATTGGAGGTTGCTGTATTGTGTTAGCCGCCATGCTGTCGAAGTTTAGCAGTGACGAGCAGCCAGGGATTCTGATGGATCTGCTGTTACTGGGCCCATAGGCCTGTGGCTCCTAAGGACGCGACCTGACTGGATGAGGAGACCGTAAAGGAAGTTGGTCCCATCAAGGTTATAGACGGGTCGGGTAGGGTGTTGGGAGCTTTACGGCTTATTCGACTGGCAAAGGATGGACGAAGCCTGCTATTCTGAAGGCCTCAGGGTGGCTGAAAGGGGAAGGGACAAAGGCCCTCAGCCTTTGGCCTTCATCTAGTGGAGGACCATAGGACCTCAGTGCCAAGTATTGTTGATATAGAGAGCCATGGTGGAGTCAGTAGGAGGAGGAGGAGCGTCATGCTTCGATGGCTAATCATGTCCCTGCTTCCCAGCAGCAGATGGCTGATGGCAGTGTTGATGCTTTTATGAAGGAGTATTGAGAGCCAGTCACTCGCGTGGACCGAGGTGAGTGTCTGTAGACCTGAGGATGCCCAGGCTACGATAGAGTTACTTAAGCTCGTACTGGAGAGACAAGTGAAGAGTGATGCAGAAAGTTCATATTCTCAAGGCCTTGGCTTCAAGGTGAAGCGGGGCCCGTCCCTTGGACGACAGGGGCTAGTCTAGTGAGCAACATGTAATCAAGGGGGGTTACCAGCAGATATCCATGGTTACGACTCGCAGCTGGAGACTGATGTGGTAGGAGGCCTTATCGGTAACTGATAGATTTCTTGATATTTCGAAGATTGAAGGGCTGGTATTGCGCTCTTGGGTATGGCGGATTGATATACTGATGTCCTAGAGAGGGTGACTGTAGCAAAGGGCGGGGAGCATGGAGGAGAGGTTAGACTAACAGGCTGTGCTGCTAGTTGAGGAAATTCTCAACTCAGAACTGAGAGAAGAGGCTCGGCTCACGTACGAGGCCCGTGGCTCATTCGTGGTAACGGAGCGGCTATTATGGGTACAGGCCTTGGAAAGCGGCTGTCCACACTGACACAGCCGATGTTGTTCGGTGTGCCATTGAGGCGGCACGTGTTATAAGCGACCAAACGAAGGTTGATGACTTATCCCTGGCTGGAGCTAAGGTCAGTGTGATCATTAGTAGGCATGCCTCGACCCTTCGAAAGTTCGCAAGAGTTGGATATGGATCAGGTCGCCCTGCAAGTGATCGATGTCGTGAAGTGATGATCCACCATAGTATCTTTAGCTGTGGGAGGGAGTAATACGAAGTTTGTAGAGCCGACTGCTTGGGTGTTGATTGGCATGCTCCTGAGAAGAATAGTATCTCCAACAATTCGAATGACTCCTCCATAATGTGCTCAGTTATGTTATAGTGTGTTGGACTGCGGCTTAGTGGGGGCCGCAGTTAGTGGCTGGTCATCATCACTAGCGATCACAAGGGACAATTTTTGTGTCGGTGTTTCTGCTGTTAGATAGCATGTCAGTTGTTGTTAATATTCTAATGAATACTGACCCTATGAATCCTATCAATCTCTTCGCTTTCGCCTTGCTGGACGAGCTTCAGCAGGAATGTCCAGCCGACCGTGGCAGCAACACTGTGGTGAGTCCTCTATCCCTCTTCCAGACGATGGCGATTGCTGCTTATGGTGCCCAAGAGGGTAAGACACTCGACGGCCTACTCAACGTCACTCATGTCGATGATTTGGAGAAGCTGTGTGATATTAGCCGCGACTTTAGTAGATCTAATGCTGATCGTGATGTTCTATCCTGTGCTAATGCGGTCTGGTCGAGCCACCTTACTGAGTCCTTCACAGATGATGTCAAGGCCAATTTGAATGCCGAGGTCTTCCCTGAGGCACCCCACAAGGACATTATCAATTCCTGGGTCGAGAGAAAGACCAATGGTATGATCGAGAATCTCCTCTCAGCTGATCCGCCTGATGGTGCGACTTTGGTCAACGCTGTACATTTCAAAGATCAATGGAAGACGTCGTTCATGAAGTCATTCACTAAAGAAGCCGACTTTCATACTCAGCAAGAAGGTGAAGCGTCCATGAAGGTTGACATGATGGTTGCTGCAAGCCCATATGGAGATACGAGGCAGAAGGGTTTCGATTACTACGCTGACGACAAGGTGCAGGTGGCAGTGGTTCCTTATGCCCATGACGATTATGATGCTGTTATAGCGTTGCCAGCTGAAGGAGTATCTGTGGATAATTTTGTGGCGCGTGACTTTGACGTTTGGTGTGAAGGTATGCAACACAACAAAGAGGGCAGCGTTTCGTTCCCCAAGTTCAAGGTGGAGTATGGTGTACGAGATATGACAAAGCTTTTCGAGCGTATGGGGTTGGTGTTAGATGGCGACTACAGTAAGATGGGCCCTGGCCTTGAAGTGGGTTCCGTGCTTCATAAGGCTGTTATGACAGTCGATGAGGAAGGCACTGAAGCTGCAGCAGCATCGGCTATGATGATGCTTACGGCGATGCCTATTGATCCTCCTTTCCATATGGTCTGCGATAGGCCTTTCTTGTTCATAGTTAGGCATAGACCTACCAATAGCATCGTTTTCATTGCTAAGATTAAGGAGCCGACTCTGGTGTAAACGGTCATTTTGTAGTTAATGGTTCTCAGTGTAAAAGCGGTGTGTTGTTGAGCATGAGTTGTCTCATTATAGGTATAGTTACACATTCATTCAGTTCAGTTTTCCGCTTGAGTCAATGTCTGGTATTGGTCACGAGGACGAGATGCAGCCGTGAGTGGGACCTGCTGAGGGGAGCCTCGTAACGCCGTGGACGTGGCCGATGACCTCCTCAATCATCTAACTGCTACTCAGCTCCTCTATACGATACATCTCGAGTACATCATCCTTGCTATCATGTAGTGAAGTAGAAAGGTAGAGTATGACTGGCATGATGATGATGCCAGGCACATGATAAGGCCTCTCAATGATGATCCCAATCTGTCACTGGCACTTATTCATGCGTACTACTTTCTAGGAGCTTTATGGGAGAGCGCTTGTTACCTCTCACAGCAGATGAGGTATGGATTGTGAAGGTTCTTGAGTTGTTGACCATTGTATCCTTCCTTAGGTGAGCTCAGCGAAGGACGGGCTGCAGCAGATCCGGACACGAGGCGTGGTGGTGGCGTCAGAGTCGGCAGTACAGCCCATGTCTTTCTATGGACAACAGACTACAGGTGCAGCTGGCCTCCAAACAGTGGTAGTGTACCATACGAAGGTCTTGTTGACGTTACTCTCTTGCGTGTAGCTGCCTTCTAGCACACCATCTGCCCCTATCGACGAGATGCTTGATCGTCTGGAGAGGGAGGTATCGAATCTTACTGGTTCGAATGTTGCTGCTGATATTGAGAGCATCATGGTGGCCCTTGGGAACCTGTCACCAGAGCAGATAGCATCGCTCCCTGAGATGGTGCAGGCGGGCCTACAAGGGCCCGATTGTTTAACGGTCTTTAATTGCCTATTGTTTAACGTATTGTTATAACGTATGTGTCGGTGTTTATCGGAAGAGTAGAATCTCTGTAGGTCTCTATGGTGATTTCCATATTTTGTGTCACTACCTAGATTTCCTCTAGCTTGTATTTTTAACTTGTCGTTTTCTGATGACATCCGCCCCAACTTTGCCGTCAGTTCCGTGGTATAAGTTTGTTTTTTCACTGGCGACTATAATATCAGCAGGCATCACTGCAATACCCCTTTACTTGGCACCAAAGACAGCGTGGTGGGCCTATCTATCAGTAATACAGGGCTGCCTTCCTACCCACTTAGCTTCTTGACAGAATGATTCGTAGTAGGCAATGAGAATAGTCGTATGAATGAATCGAATTACCACTAGTTGTTTCTTTTGCAGATCATTGGTCCGGTTTTCTCCAACTTCGCGGTCAAGTTCAACTGGCCATCTATTAATGCCTTTGCGAGGACCAGTATCATCGGTCGATGGTTGGGTTCTGGGTTTGGCTGCCTGGCGCACTTCATTGTTCAAGAAATGGGTGGCGGCATCTACTATCGCCTATGGGCTGTTCTGTTCTTCCTCCCTATCACTTTCTTCTTCTGCATGTCTCAGTCGAATGGTGGATGCAAGATGAGCGAGATTATTATGGGTCAAACATCGCTAGTCTCCTCTGGTGTGGCTGTGCTATGGTTCGTTAACAACGGTTACAAAGAAGGAACTGCCTTTGCGGTATTCCAAACCTTTGGTACCCTCACATCGTTCATTATTCTTCAGCTACTTCATCTCGCACACCTCCTCCCTGCCGACAGTCCCCCACCTTTCCAACGGTTCAGCTACTCAGCAGCCAATCTCTATGACATATTGACGTCATACATAGTATCTGGTGATGAGCATACCGAGCTGCTGCGCTCGGCCTATGATGACTTCCTTCGCGCATGTGTCAGTATTGCGTCTCATCCTGTAACTGCTGATGTCAACACGCCAGCGTGGGAGATGGTAGCGGACTTATTTTCGCTCAGACAGAACTTGAAGTCTGGCAAGTTCTCTGATCTCATTCTAGAGAACTACTGGCAACCAATGGCAGCTGATTTGTTGGAATTGAGGAGCAGCGTGGGTCTCGTCTTGCGCTCCATCTATGAAACGGAGCCGACATTAAGGGAAAGAGCGGACGCTATCAATCTACGGGACCGGGCCAGAGTATTCGAAGCCCATCTTTTGAAGGTCAATCGTAGCGCTGCAAGCTTAGTGACGAGTGGTGATATTGAGCCTCCGGACGACAACGAGTTCATGCGGTTCCAGTCCGCTTTGGGTTCGGCGTTCTACTTCGCTTGTAGAGCTCAAGATTACAGAGACGCTAGTCTGCAGCTACGCGCAAAAAATAGTGAGCAGGTAAGCTCAGAGTAGCTCCGATATTGTAGAGACGTTCTTCGCTCTTTTAGGCTGAGAGGTACTCTTGTCACCCCTTTGCTGGCTTTGTGGCGTGGTGGAAGGCTTGGTGGGCGGAGCCTTTTTTCAGAGGCCTTAATGAGGGTGGTGGTGCTCGGCCTACGTTGATTTATGCAGCCCGGTTCACCCTCGCCGTCGTGATTGGTGAAGTCGTCCTCGTTGTTGGTCAACACTACAGCGAGGGCGTCCGTCAACACGGCCTATGGGGTATCCTCCCTGTCTATCTCTGCTTTTTGCCAACTTGTGGAGCATCCTTACTGAGGGGCGGTCGAAGGACTATCGGTACCCTGGCTGGTGCGGCTGTCAGCGTAATCTGTCTCAGTGCTAACCCACATGATTCGGCGGCAATCTTTGTCGAGATGATGATCGTTGTGTTCATTGGCAAATCCGCCAGCTCTTACGGTGGTATTGGATATGCTGGCACTGTATTTATACTCACTTGGTTTGTCGTCTGTATGGGATTGGCAATAGGCACGACACTGCCGCCGGACCAGATGATGATTGCCGCAGCCTGGAGGGCTGGTCTTACTGCTGCTGGCGGTATATATGTTACGATCTTCTCTGCGGTTTTCTTCCCGGAATTTGCTGCTGTCCATTACAAGCAGGCGGCGGCTCACACAGTCAAGGAGTGCAGTAACGGTGTTGAGGAAGCTGTCTGGCAACTGGTACGGGCTCGTTCGGAGCTCAGAGATGCCCCTCTACACGATCCTCGAGATGACTTCAGTCACGCTGTTTTCAAGTCGCTGAGTACTCAAGTGAAGTATAGAGAAGATGCCAGTGCTGAAATCGCGATGTTGGGTTCACTGAAATTGTTGTCGCCTACCACTAAGAGGGTTCTGAGAAGACGCGCCGAGATAGGCAAACTAGTCAATGAAGCTCTGGTATTGCACAATGCCCTGATTGCGTCATCCCTGTCTGTTACTGGTCCGGCGGCAAAGATGCTAGACTGCATCTTACCTTCTCTCAGGGACTTTGGTTTATCCCTGCAATCGTCTTCGGAGCGGTTGTTTATAGCTATTAACGAGGAGAAGAATATCCCTCCATTCAAGGATGACGTTAATGTGGCTGCTCAGATGTGCTTGGATACATTCCTGAACGCTAAGAACCGACTCGTTGAGGATTGCTTGGCCGGTTCGGAAGGCGCTGCAGGAATCATTTCCTCTGGTGGTTTCCGAATCTACTACTTGGTGTATGCTGTAACGGTTTTTGCAGGGATGTGGACCGGTGTTGAGAATCGCCTAATAGGTCAACAGCCCCCAGTAGAGATGGCCACGGAGTCTCTTGATTCTTCCGACACCTCTCTTTCCACAGCCGACTCCACTGACGATGTGCCTGGGCTTGGCGTTCATGAAGCCAGGAGACAGAGGGTATTTCTCGATGTCTCGCAGGGTGTTGCGAGGGAAATTCCTTCGACCCCAGCCATAGCAGTTCATTGATTCGGTGTTTTGTGCAGATGTGTCGCGAGAGCAGTCCTCTGAAATATGAGACCATCGTACAGCACTGATACTATGAGTTTATAAGAGTTTATAAAGGACTATTCTAGAATAGTCAGGCCACTTCGTGGTCACCACAGCAATAGTGGTAGAGACGTTCATCTATATCTTACTTCCATTTTTCTTGGTCCTGACAATTGTCTGGAAATATAAGCTAAGCCAATAGTATCTAGTTACAACGACTGTTATGTAATGGCAGCCGATTGAGGTGGCTATCCACCAAAAGCACTGTATGACACAGTCTGTGTCCCTCTCATTCTGAATCTCCTTTGGTTTCCATTGTATTATCAGCGACGTAAAAACCCGCTATCATTATCAAGGCAGGTACAGAGTGCTCCTATTAGCTAAAGAGTTTTTGAGCGTTTTTTCTTCCCACTCGTTTAGTCCATCACAAAGATTGATAGTGCTCGTCTATCAGCCGAGCAAGTGTTAGAATTATCTCTGCTGTTTCCTTCCTCTACATGCTCCTGTTGTGTCGCTTATAAACGCTCGAAGTGGCTGAGAGTGGTCTCTTGTTGATCTAGGTCGCCGCTGGAGTTAAGCATTCCCCCGAACATTCAGTATCTCATTTGGCGTGGTTGAATGTTCTTGGGTACAGCTTACCCTGGGGTACACGAGTCAACATCGATTGAGCTGACCAGCTGCTGCAACATGGGAAACCTGAGAGCTCCCCGGCTTCGCGAGCGTACTATCTGTCTGTGGGCAGTTTCGAGTTTCTTAATTGAATTCATCACTGATGAAGTTCCCACCAGCTTTACCAACCGTTCCACGATATAAGTTGCTGTTCTCATTGCTAACTATAATACCAGCAGGGATTACCGTCATACCTCTCTACCTTGCACCGAAGTCTTCATGGTATATCTATCTTTCGGTAAAATGGGAGGGAATCGACTTGTAGATTCGCTTGTGTCTTCTCGCCAGACCTGTGTTAGAATAAAGTAGTGGTTCGGCGAAATTCCTTGCCTGCGTAGATTTGTGATGCTATGGGACAGTGATGTGGTTCCATCCGAATAGTCTCTAGATTTAAAAAAATGTGGGGTAGATCAATCACACTTCTCCAAGGCTGATCTATCCTTGGTCAGATCAGGACTCTAGGTGAGGCGACTGTGCCTCCTCATGCTATGCCTTAGCTGAACCGATTTCGCTGTTGCTAATCTACTGTTATGTTTCTTATTCCATCGTGCCAGTCCAAAGTGACCAGTCTAAACATAGTAGCCGCGATGGCTCCAGCGACCGAGAACATCGGTCCTGGATTTGAATATCTGCCTTCGGATGGAATTGACTCCATTATCAGTGGAATGGGCTCTTGCCGACTCACTCGATGTCTCTCGATCGGCATAGTTTCCCCGACCAAGAAATTGTCTGTACCGAACGTGTATTTGGTGGCATACTTGCCCCACTCGAAGGAGTTGACTGTACTGAACGTATATTGGGGTGGCATACTTGCCGCGCTCGAAGGAATTGACTGTACTGAACGTATATTGGGGTGGCATAATTGCCCCGCTCGAAGGAATTGACTGTAGTGAACGTATATTGGGGTGGCATACTTGCCCCGCTCGAAGGAATTGACTGTACTGAACGTATATTGGGGTGGCATACTTGCCCCGCTCGAAGGAATTGACTGTACTGAACGTATATTGGGGTGGCATAATTGCGCCGCTCGGAGAAATTAATTGTACTCAGGGTATTTTCGGAGAGAATGGGGTTCACCAAAGCAGACTATATCACGTTCTTTCCTTCAGATCATTGGCCCGATATTTGCCAACTTCGCTGTGAAATTCAACTGGCCGGCAATTCACTCCTTCGTGAGGACTGGAATCATCGGTAGATGGTTGGGCACTGGACTAGGCTGCCTAGCGCACTTCATTGTACAAGCAATGGGCGGCGGCATCTACTATCGCCTATGGGCCGTTCTGTTCTTCCTCCCTATCACTTTCTTCTTCTGCATGTCTCAGTCGAATGGTGGATGCAAGATGAGCGAGATTATTATGGGTCAAACATCGCTAGTCTCCTCTGGTGTGGCTGTGCTATGGTTTGTCAACAACGGTTACAAGGAGGGAACTGCCTTTGCGGTATTCCAAACCTTTGGTACTCTCTCATCGTTCATTATTCTCCAGCTACTTCATCTCGCACACCTCCTTCCTGCCGACAGTCCCCCAGCTTTCCAACGGTTCAGTTACTCAGCAGCGAATCTCTATGACATATTGACGTCTTACATAGTATCTGGCGATGAGCATTCCAAACTACTCCAGTCGGCCCACGACGACTTCATGGATGCATGTTTCAAAATCGCTTCCCACCCTGGCCCTGGAGGCATTGAGACGCCGGCATGGTACATGGCAGCCTATCTGTTCTCGCTCAGAGAGAACCTGAAGTCTGGCAAGTTCACCGATACTATCTTGGATAACTACTGGCAACCAATGGCAGCTGATTTGTTGGAATTGAGGAGCAGCGTGGGTCTCGTCTTGCGCTCCATCTATGAAACGGAGCCGACATTGAGGGAAAGAGCGGACGCTATCAATCTACGGGACCGGGCCAGAGTATTCGAAGCCCATCTTTTGAAGGTCAATCGTAGCGCTGCAAGCTTAGTGACGAGTGGTGATATTGAGCCTCCGGACGACAACGAGTTCATGCGGTTCCAGTCCGCCTTGGGTTCGGCATTCTACTTCGCTTGCAGAGCTCAAGATTACAGAGACGCTAGTCTGCAGCTACGCGCAAAAAATAGTGAGCAGGTAAGCTCAGAGTAGCTCCGATATTGTAGAGACGTTCTTCGCTCTTTTAGGCTGAGAGATACTCTTGTCACCCCTTTGCTGGCTTTGTGGCATGGTGGAAGGCTTGGTGGGCGGAGCCTTTTTTCAAAGGCCTCAATGAGGGTGGTGGTGCTCGGCCTACGTTGATTTATGCAGCCCGGTTCACCCTCGCCGTTGTGATCGGTGAAGTCGTCCTCGTTGTTGGTCAACACTACAGCGATGGCGTCCGTCAACACGGCCTATGGGGTATCCTCCCTGTCTATCTCTGTTTCTTGCCGACTTGTGGAGCGTCCTTACTGAGGGGCAGCCGAAGGGTTATCGGTACCCTCGTGGGTGCGCTAGTCAGCATCGTCTGTCTCCGTATCAACCCACATGACCCGGTAGCAATCTTTGTTGAGATGATGATCGTCGTGTTTGTTGGCAAATTCGCGAGTTCTTATGGTGGTATCGGTTATGCTGGTTCGGTATTTACCCTGACTTGGTTTGTGGTCTGTATGGGATTGGCAATAGGCACGACACTGCCGCCGGACGAGATGATGATTGCCGCCGGATGGAGAGCTGGTCTCACTGCTGCGGGTGTCGTCTATGCCACGGTTTTCTCTGGTGTCGTCTTTCCGGAGTTCGCCGCGGTTCACTACAAGAAGGCTACGGCCCATGCTATTAAAGAGGGATGCGACGGTGTTGAGGAAGCTATCCTACAACTGGTACGGGCTCGCTCAGACCAGAAGGGTGAATTCTCCCTGATCGATCCTCGTATCGAGTTCGGCCATTCGGTTTTCGAGTCGCTGAGCACTCGGGTGAAGTACACCCAGGACGCTACTGCCGAGGTTGCAGTTCTTGGTACTCTCCGCCTCCTATCTCCTATGACTAAGAGAGTGCTGTTGAAGGGTCATGATATTGACAAGCTCACCAATGCCGCGTTGGTGCTACACAATTCATTGGTGTCGGCGACTCTCTTTGTGACAGGCCCCGCGGCTGAGATGCTGGATGCCATAGTACCCGGACTGAAAAAATTTCGTCTCGCGTTGCGAGCCTCCTCAGAGCGGCTTCATAGGGCGATTAACGAAGAGAAGAATATTTCCCCGTTGAAGGACGACGTTAATGTCGCAGCCCAGCTGTGCTTGGACGCTTTCCTGCATGCTAAAGATCGACTCATAGAGGATTGCTTGGCCGGTTCGGAAGGTGCTGCAGAAATCATTTCCTCTGGGGGTTTCCGGGTCTACTACTTGGTGTATTCTCTAACCTTCTTCGCAGGGTTGTGGACTAGCATTGAGAATCGATTGATTGGTCAACAGCCCGCAGTAGAGATGGTGGGAGCTGACATGATGTCCTCGGATCCCTCGACGTCCTCTACTGATGATGAAGGCTCCCTGGATGACACTCTAGGAGGTACTTACGGTGTCCCCAGACCGAGGTCGCTCTCTACACTGTCGCGCAGAGGTACTCGGTGATTCTTCGCCTTCGCAATCCTTATCGACCGCGAGAGTCTGATCTGACAGTCCTATCCATGTCTAGATTGTTTATAGAATAGCTAGATCTTCAAGACTGTTGTATCTCGAAAGCGAGATCGTCTCATTAAGGTTTGTAGAATGAGTCCAGCAGTACGTGAGTTTCTGGTATAATATGTCGTTGACTTATGACAAGATAAGGTTGCATCGATGCACCTATCTCTGCGAAATCCTCTCGAGTTTCCTCAGTTCTCATTGCTGAGTATCGGCAATCCACTGAGTACGCTCGTCGACAATTGAGTCCTTTTTCAATCCGACTCTTTGCTCGTCTTCGTTTCTGTTCAACATCCCGTTCGAGCGATGTAAAGGTCCTCGAGACGAATAGCTATCTTAAATCCAAGTCTGTTTGTGTTTATAAATTCACCGGTGCGGAATACTTGATTGTATTGCGAGTTCATCCTTGTAGAATTGATTGTATCGAGGGTGGCATAGCTGCCCCATCGGGAGATACTGGTTGTACTGAGGTCTATCCTAGGACGGTATAGTTGCCCCACTCAGAAAATTGCTTGTACTGAAGCCTATCCAGGGTGGCATAGTTGCCCCATCGGGAGATAGTGGTTGTACTGAGGTCTATCCTAGGACGGTATAGTTGCCCCACTCAGAAAATCGCTTGTACTGAAGCCTACTCAGAATGGCATAGTTGCCCCATCGGGGGATACTGGTTGTACTGAGGTTTATCCTAGGATGGTAAAGTTGCCGCATCCGGATACACTGGTTGCATTGGGGCCTATCTTAGGAGGCATAGTTGCCCCATCCGGAGAGACTGATTGTGCTGAGACCTATCTTAGGTTGGCATAGTTGCTTCACCTAGCGAAATTGCTCATACTGAGATCTATCTTAGGACGGTATAGTTGCCCCATCCAAATCATTCGCTCGAACTATGGTATATTTTAGGATGGCATAGTTGCCCCACTCAGAATAATCGGTTCAACTACGATCGAAATCGGTCTTCAGAACGGCAGCAATGCAACATCTTGTATACCCCCATGATTGACCGAGATAGAAGCTCCCTCGACCATTGAGTTCTTTGACCTTATCGAGTATTAAATATGTCATTTTGACTGACTTCACAGTAGGAATGCCGTGATATCGAGTAGTATGTATCATGAGAAGCTCGCTGTTGCACCGAGTTCCCTAAGTTCAGTTACTTTCTCGGTTTTGCGCGTGTAATCTGTATATGATAAAAAATATACATATATGACAGAAAAATTATATGTCACACATTTTCCGACTCCCCATAGTATGATGAATCAAATGGTGTATATCGTCGACCACATGAAATTTGTACACTCTATCTTCCCCAGATGCTACCCATGAGGTAGATTGTTTATGAGGTAAGTACGGGTACCCCGCTTAGGGCTCAACAGATTCGGCGAGTATAGCCACCGAAGATTGAAGTGTAATGTCCTTACCTCTGCTCGGCTCATCAAAGTCTCTTTTGGCTGGATCTGGCTATAAGCCTCGTGGATTGGCTGTTCCCATCGAGAGACTCTCTGAAAAACGGTCCTCAATCAGAGTGGCTGATTTGATAGCAGCCGTGCAGCGAACAATCGAAGGGATGACTGAGGAAGATTTCAGGCAGGCCCGTTCATCATTCATCGTCACACTCTTTTTCCTGGTTGGAATTTCCTTGAGCGTTAATTTCTGATGCGATTTTGCATTTCACTACCTCTTCTATGTAGACCAGAAGATCTAGAGGAGACATTCACTCTCAGCCGCGAAGTACTGGCTGAATGTAAACGATCCGACTCTGACAAGGATCCTGACTGCACAAAGTAACCATTTTCCATTCCTATCAACACCACTGTGAGTCAAGGTTCATAACACCAGGGTATCGACTCTGGCACGTATGCATATCCCTCTCGAAGTCCACAGACGAGCTCAAGTCTGCCACTGTGGGGGACACTCTGGTCACTAAGTTACGGGTAGCTTCCTGTTGACAGCGTCCTTGACACTTCACTCTCTCAGGAGCTGGACTGCCTTTGTCGAGAGGTTGCCGCAAGGGTACTGGAGCATGGTGTCAGGGATATGCTCAACTCTGGCGACGATGATGAGGATACTCGCTCACAACGGGATAATCTTATCAAGATTTGGTAGTGGAATCCACTAAGTGGATGCCAGCTGGTTGATCGACTTGTAGGTGTGTCATAGGTTGCGCACTGGTCAGAGTTGGCTGTCATTAACTTCTGGAGGTGCAGAGCAATGGACAGCAGCCAACAATGCATTGACAAAAGGAATCACTATTTTCAAGAAAGCTGTCACTGAGCTGTCTGAAGGGTCCGTCAGCGAGACGACCAAGAATGCAGCCTTTTCGGGCGCCTTGCATCTAGCTCAGGCCCTATGTCTCACAGGGAGCTGGGATGGGGCTGTCCAGGTAGAGGTTTATCTGTAGGTCCAACTAGAGCTACTGTTGGGGTCACACATCAGACAATTACAAGCTGTCGTGCACTCCTGTCGAATTGGTCCGGTTATCGCCGAATTGAAGCAGAGCTTGAGCTCGCCTATCAATGCAGGGATATCGCCACAAGGATGGTCCGCGCTAAAGACTCAGCTTGCGGCAAGGAGTGGGCTGTGGGTAGGCTGTGTTGACGGAGGGTCTCAAGTTGATCCTGGCTGTCTGTCGAGGTCCGCCTGGATGGTCATCCATGGCCATCTCGGTGCCACCCCCACCTGAATTGTTGAGGGTGGTGGAGATACTGGAATGTTCTTTCTATGTCTTATCCGAAGATGATTCGTCCCATCAAGGGCTCGAGACTACGGGTACGCGGGTTCGAAGGTTACTTATCGTGCGTTGAAGATCGATTGATCTCATTTCTGCAGTGTTGACGCAACTGAGCAAGGCCCGCAGTGAGATCTGCCGGTTGCTGGCCGAGGTCCAGTCGATACAACGGCAACCAGAAAAGGCACTCGACTCCGTGCACGTGGCGATTCGAGAAGATATTCAATACAAGGCTTTCGAGTGGGTTATATAAATTTCTCGGAGACATTTTGCCTGGACATTTTCGTTGGCAGTGGATACTATGATAGTGTCCGCGTAGCCGTGTGGATCATTCTCAACGCCCAACCGAAGATCTTGAAAACGGGAACTACCGAGGAGTTGATCAAGAGCGGCGAGGTGAGCATTTATCCCGATTTGCGATGAAGATTCGATTGCATTGTAGCTGAAAAGACTGGTCGAAGAATACTGTGCTACTGGAGAAGAAGTCCCTCAGGAAGTGCAACCTAGCCCGACGGAGAGATTGTTGAGCCTCGGAAAACCGCTAGTGCACGCGCTACTCACCCTAGCGGAGGATATGACTCCATTCGAGGCCTCATCAGAGAGGTTGGATGAGATATTCGATGTACGCCATGTCCCTCCGTTTGCTTGGCTAGTTGGGAATATGGGTCCTGCTGTGTTACGTCAGGCACTCGGTCTGGTGCTGCGATCCCTGGAGCGGGATTGTGACGGACCTTCGCTCGTATTACTGGCGGCTAGTGTAGCCGATGCCATAGGAACTATTTCCCGAGCGATCACGCGAGGGGAAGGACGGGATGATGGTAGACGGGCTGGACGGGATGGGGTCAGTCTCCAAAAGCACATGTTAATGACGTGCACTGGTAAAATTCGGGCGCCGCTCTATCTATCTTGAGCAAGTCAGGACAGAACCTCACAGGGTGAGACGTCCGGTTTCGAGACGTACCGCCTAGGCCGGTATGAGGAATCCGGTCCGCGTATCGAGCGGATGAGCCACGCTCCGTATAAGCTCATCCGCCTCAGAATTTCAGACTCAATAGTTACTAACATAGTTGAAAATCTCAATTGCTCGATTCGATTTGTGAAGACTTGGGACACACTGTCTCATTCTCCTGCAGAGTGCCTTCCAAGTCGTCTTTGATATGGAAACCTGAAGGTACGCGGCTCCGCGCCGGTGCATCGCATGGTCTAAGCAACGTCTTGCGTGACGTGGTTGTCCTCATCTCGGGCACTAATATCTGGGTAGACGAAGAGGTGAAGTTACAGTGTTCAGGAATCGTTTGGAATATGGCAGCTGGGGTAACCTGGTCAACTGTTCGGTCGCCTTTTGAAGCCTTGAAATCGCTTCAGTTGTACACATGTGGACACTACGCTACGGCATCGACATGGTTTGAGCTCTGTCTGCAGTTGGTTGATCAAGAGTCGAAGTATCGCTGCTGGCAAGCTCAAGCTCTCTGCTCGTATAGGACCGGCAACTATGAGGAAGGTCAAGTTGAATGACCATGTTGTTGTCGTAACTGAGGCTGCGGAAGGTATCCGACTCGCTAAGGAAGCACTGCACTTGTGTCCGGAAGCCTCCGCAAAGTCACAGCCCTTGCTTGCTATGGTCAACTGTGCAGTTGACGGGAGGCTCACTAACACAAGTAAGAGCTGGCAATCGTTTTATGTACCGTAACGGGTACACGGGTAACTCGTGCATAACAAGTTTATGGTGCTTGCCTTATCTGCTTGGGGATTATATTCGTTTGTCGCGGATCTTTGTGATCGGGTCAGAGTTCTGTATCTGGATTCTTCTCGGCTAAGCTTATTCGTTGCCACTTGTGCATTCGGTACACGTATGCAGGAGTCTCAACTCTCAACACGCTATTCGAAATCAGACGCTACTAGCCGCAGAATTTCCTCCTACGTTCTCGGCTCATGACGAAGTTTTTTATTTGGTAGAGCTCGGGCACCTGCACCGTGCATGCTGCACGAGACTTGATCAGCGGTGTAGCGTCGTGTATACGCATGGTGCCACACGTTTGACCATTGAAAGGTTGTGACGTGACTCAATAAATGTCCATGCTTAGCCAGGAGAGTCTGGCCCTGTGTTAGTTGCTGAGATTATATCGGAGCTGGAAGAAGTCGACCCGAGAAAAGACGAGGACCTATCTCCGCAGCTTCTGGTCGCCATTATGAACAAACTAGAGTGTTCGGAGGAGCTCCAGCAGTACGTGCCTCGGTGCCTCAAGGTGAACACACCGGTTACAGTGCGACGATATGTGACAGTCCCTTGTAGTTGGTGGGTAAGTACTTATGCAAGGGCCCCGATGGTACGTCAGTGGACACACTGGACCGCTTAACAATATTCCGCTGTATAGCAAAAAACGCAATCGATGCTGGTGATCGCAATGCAGCTCTGCATTACTTGGAAGCGTCTTGTGAGGGACTAGTGAAAGTAGAATGGGAAGGTCACGTACCCTAATATTAGCGGGAGACCGACTGAGATGAACCGGGTCGAGTTGGTGTCCAATCAGTACTGAAACTCCTGATAACTTGTACGCCTCCGCACTTCTCTGATAATAATTTTATTAGAGTCGCTATCGTCTAGTGGTTAGGACGTCACGTTGTGGCCGTGACAACCCCGGTTCAAATCCGGGTAGTGACTTTATTCTACCTCAAGCTGACCCTAGTCCATCCTCAGTCGTGCTTGCTCGCGTATCATTTTTATATTGTATGCCTCTGAGCGGATCATCCAGGCTCAAATGTTTCTGACTTATTCGTTTTCCTCGAGCGTTTATCCTTGTTCGTTTGTTCAGACTAGGCTCGATAACTGTGGATCAGAGGCAGACCGAGTGATTGAGCAGGTGACTGCTCTGTTCAGAATAGCATGGAATCTTGGCATCCAGCTGGGAAACTGTGAAGACCAAGAACCGGAAGCTTGGGATGCGGTAGTGCCTCATGTACCTGGCAGTTGAATGCTAACTGGGTTAGTCTTTTCGTTTTGCGCTGTACGTATCTCTGACGCTCCGATCGTTGCGAGTTCTCCCTAGGCCTTCCGCGCACTGCGGTGCGCCCGCTTACTCATAAAACATTTCCTTCTACCTCACGAGGAGTCGAGGGTGGATCCGAACGAAGAGGACTCAGAAAAGGTGAGCGAGTTCTATGCGGTGTATTACATCGAGAACAGCGAACTTCCTACGGCCAAACTCTGATTCACTGAACGGTGATGCCATCTGCAATAATCGTTATGCTCAGCTAGCTGATGATGCCCGTATGTGCTTGGTATTCATGCTCACCGCTATAACGAGAATGGCGATGCATATGGAGGAGTCTGGCGAGACGGCTGCTGGTGCAACGTAATGTACCTCCGTCCAGCGCGAGCTCGCTTGAAAGATTTATCACAGAGAAAGTTTGGTCGAATCAGAGAGTGCGAGCTTGGAGGATGTTAGCAGTCTGGGAAACTTGTCGTCGTTGAGCTTTATGAGTAGATGATGGGTACTGATATTCCATTCGAACACGATGCAGGG